GACGACAGGTACCTTTTTAATTCGTCGAAGGCTTCCTGGCACTCCGTCGGCCACTTTAAGCTGTTGGCTTTACGCATGATCTGGAAGAAGGGGAGAGCCCTTTCGGCTGACCTGGAGAGGAACCGGTTCAGGGCCGCTAGGCGCCCCGTTAGTCGTTGTACTTCCTTGACGTTACGGGGTGGCTCCATGTTGATGATAGCCTGCGTCTTCTCCGGGTTTATCTCGATGCCTCTCCGGCTGACCATGTAGCCGAGGAACTTGCCACCCTGGACGCCGAAGGCGCACTTCTTGGGGTTGAGCCGGAGCCTGAACTCCTTCATGATTTCAAAGATTTCCCGGAGGTCGTCGGCGTGGGAGGAGGCCTGCCTGCTCTTGACGATCATGTCATCGACGTATGCCTCCATCGTCCGGCCAAGGACCGCTCTGAAGATCTTGGCCACCATCCTAGTGTAGGTGGCGCCGGAGTTTTTGAGCCCGAAGGCCATGACGAGGTAGCAAAAGATTCCCTCTGGGGTCATGAATGTCGTCTTCTCAGCGTCATCTTCATGCATGGAGATCTGGTGGTACCCTCTGAAAGCGTCGAGGAACGACATCAACTCGCACCCCGCCGTCTCGTCCACCAGCTGATCAATGTTGGGGAGAGGGAACGGGTCCATGGGGCATGCCTTGTTCAGGTCAGTGTAGTCAACACACATTCTGAACGTCGGCGGTTTCTGGGCGAGGACGACGTTGGCCAACCATGTCGGGTACTTCACCTCTTTGATGTGTTTGATTGAGAGGAGCATGGCGACCTCTCCTTTGACGAAGTCCCTCCTGTCGGCGGACAAATAGCGCCGCTTCTGTTTGACAGGCGTGGAGGCCGGATCGACGGTCAGCCGGTGAGTGATCACCTGGCGGCTGATGCCTGGCATTTCGTCCGGGCCCCACGCGAAGACTACGGCGTACGACCGTAGGACGAGGAGGATGGCGTCTCGTTGGTCCTGGGGGAGTCGCTTCCCAACTCTGAGAACCCGCTCCGGCCGGGAGGTATCCAGAGGGATTTCCTCGACCTCCTCGGCCGGCTCCGCATGTGGCCTTTCTTCGTCCACGGCGACGGCGGCCGTGATGGTGTCTATCCTCTGGCCTTCCCTCTCGGCCGGCCTCGTCAGTTTGAGGTAGCATGCCCTGGCTATCCTCTGGTTTCCTCTGGCATAGCCGATGCCGTCGTTTGTTGGGAACTTTAGGCACAAGTGCTTCATGGAGATGATGGCCTCCAAGTCCTCCAGCGCTGGCCGGCCCAAGATCAGATTGTGGGCGCACTGGAGGTTGACCACCATGAATTCCATGTCAATTTTGGCGTGGTGGGGGCCGTCACCGACCTCCACGGGGAGGACTATCGTGCCCTCGGCGTCGATAGAGTCCCCGGTGAAGCCGGATAACGGTGTCTTGATCGGCTTCAGCAGAGATCTGTCCAGCTTCAGCTGCTTGAATGTGTCCAGGTACATCACGTTGACGGAGCTCCCCGTATCGATGTAAGTACGGTGGATGATGGAGTCACCGATCTCACACCGGATGACGAGGGCGTCCCTGTGTGATTCCGTACCCGGAGGCAGATCCTTGTCGGTGAAGGTGATCGTCTCCGCTCGTTGCTTCTTCGGCTGAGGGGGGACGTGGGACACCTCCCCAATGTAAAGGGATTGGGCCCATTTCTTTCTCTGAGTGGCGGAGTCCCCCCCAGTGTTCCCACCTACGATGAGGTGGATGTGACTCTTCTTTGGCGGGGGCTCTTCGAAATCCTCGTCGTCGCTGAGCCTACCAATCTCCCGCTTCTTCGCAGAGGGTTCGCCCCCATGTTTCCCGGTGTTTACCCAAGTGTTCTTGCGTGGGCCACCTTTGACAAACTGGGAGAGTTCCCCCTGGCGAATAAGGCGCTCGATGGCCTTCTTTAATGTGATGCAATCGTCAGTGTTGTGCGACGAGTTCTTGTGGAACCGGCAGTATGTGCCGCCCTGCTGGATGGCAAGGATCTCCTCGGCCGGCCGAGGAGCCTGCTCGATGAGGCCGTGCTTCTCGGCATAATCGAGGATGGTGCCGACCGGGTGGGTGAGGGTCACCCCCGGCCGTTCCAGCCTCGGCCGCCAGTGGCGATCTTTCTTACTCTGTCCACCAGAGCCGTGGCGGCCCTGGGCACCCTGGGCCGGCGAAGGATTTGTCTTCATAATAAACTTACTGCCCATCTTTTAGTTTTTACATGTTCTACATAAACTTACTGTCCATTTCTTAGTTTTTACATGTTCTACATAAACTTACTGCTCATCTCTTAGTTTTTACATGTTCTACATAAACTTACTATTCATCTCTTAGTTTTTACATGTTCTGCATAAACTTACTGCCCATCTCTTAATTTTGCATGTTCTACACTAAATTATTTCCCGACCATTTCACTTTCTATTTCCTACCCCTTTTGATTCATTCAAAAAATTAAATGCCTTAATAATGCCCACTATGCAGTTTTTTAATGCCCTTATAAACTGATAATGCCTTAAATTGGTATTCTCACTGCATCGACTGCTTTGTCACCACTGAAGCAGTGGTCTCCTTCGTTTTCACTACATCCATTGCTTCGTCATCACAAAAACTCCAGTCTCCTTTGTCTCCACCGCTTCGCCCTCCTCATTCTCTGCCATGACTTTCTTTCTTTTGATTCAAACTCTATTTTCAAAAAATGCTTATCTCTTTTGATATACGGCTGTAGGAGAGAGTTTCCTTTTGATCTCTTCTGCAAAAAATGCTCAAATGAGTAACCACATCGGATAGACAAATGAGGACAATCATGTCATTTTGTCTTGAATTTAAGAGAACGGTACTCATGTATGATGAGGTTTAGTCATCTTTTGGTAGATTAAGTTTTTTAGTCATATTATGGGAAATTGATTGAGTTTTACTAATATTCTCGTAATTTTCCCTATCTTTTTCCTACGTACTGGTTGATCTTTGAAGGAGATATCAGTACATTTGGTCTTCTAATAAGATATTCTCTTTACTATCTTTTTGTTGATATTTCGATTGCAGGCATTTAGCTTGCAGTTGTGTATGAACTGAAGATTATATCTCATAATATCGTGCACACTCCTGCGTCATCATTACACATTTTCTTTTTATGGTGTTTAATTAAAGATAGAATTAAAGAGTAGAAAATGATTTAGTTATTATACAATTGAAAATTGAGAATACTTATTAGTTTTATGTACAAGTGTACAATGTTTTTTCCTTATTAGTTACTCCGTATATTTTTTATATAAGTATTTTAATTTATACCAATATTGGAAATGTTTTTTAGAATGGATAGTGAACACATTGCCAAGAAAGGAAAGAAGTTGATTTCATCATTCTTTCGGAAAGTGAATCGGTCAATAATATCGATGTAGATTCTATTATTGATGAATTTTATACTTTGAAGTCGCGTAGGGCACAACTTAAATATGTTTTGATGAATATTTAATGTGTTCAATAATATCGATGTAGATTCTATTATTGCTGAATTTTATACTTTGAAGTCACGTAGGGCACAACTTAATTATGTTTTGATGAATATTTAATGTGTTGACGACTTGACTTATTATTATGTATGTGTATTTCATTTTTTTCCCCACCCCACCCCATTGTGACTTTCTGGATCCGCCCCTCATAGCGTAAAATACCTAGCACGATTGTGCAAATTTTAGTCGCGCCCGAGTCACACTGTATAGCAAGATATCATTAGTAACGTAATATTCCGAAATTTGCTTACGTGTTATAATATGTATTTATCTCACATAAATACAAGTTATAATGCTCTTATCAAACGCTTAGGCTAAAATTCATGTAATACCCCAGGAGAGATAATCTGTTACTTTTAATATAACGTGAACCCGGCCCCAAAAAGCCCCCCTGTTGATTTATTCCAATCACACCATCTTTGGATATGGTAACTCAAGCGTTGTATAGAACAACATGCTCACTAACACTTCAATTAACACCTCTTCTTGAGGAAGACATAACAAAAATATAGATAGTAAATAAAAATACAATGAATAATGAGATAGATGGGAGATGTGTGATTAAAATAGGAAGGAATGAGATGTTTATATAGGATTTTCGAGCAAATCATTAATTAAAAATAATGGAAAAATAAAATAAATTATTTTCGAGCAAATCATTAATTAAAAATAATGGAATAATAAAATAAATTATTTCAACAGTTGGACCAATTCCCCCGTTCAAACAGTGTCAAAATAATCACAGCCGTTGGATCTACTTTTTTTTTAATTCTGGCCGTTGTGGGTGCTTAGTGACGTCAACACGAAGTCACCTTGAGGTCACCCAACTCAATCTCATCTCTGCCGCGTGCGGGCCACACCTGTCATTTTTTCTCTGCGCACACTTCACATCCGCCTCACTCCCCCTATTATAGTATCTTTTTCATTTATTTTTGGGGGGTCAAAACTCCTCTAAATTAACCCCATCCTTCTCCATATCCATTTTAATACCCTCTTTAACCCACCAATGTGTAAATTAGGAGTCAAAAATGCCATTTTTAACATTTTGAATTTAAATTAGGTGATTCTCAATATTTTTGTAGAAAATTTTGTACATTACATTGCACACACTATATGTCTCAAATTTCATACATTCTCGAGTTTATCTTTCCTGAATACTAAAAATAATTACATTGCACACACTAAATATCTTGGGCGATAGATAGAAAAAATACACAGAAATGCAAAAGAAAAGCTAAAGATAATTACATATACAAATAATAAATTGGAAGTAGTATATGTGAGGTCAACCAAGCATCTTAGCTCAGGAGTGTGAGGTTACCGGTGCATATGTGAGATCTCGTGTTCGAAATCCGCTATGCCCCAAAGGAAAGAAGAAGGAGATTTTGCTCCCAATGAGATGAGATGAGATTCTAGACTAAGATAACTTAGCTCTTCAATATACATTACATGACCTTCAATATAAATCGAACGGTCAAGATTCTAGACTAAGATAACTTAGCTCTTCAATATACAAGTACATGACCTGTGTGCCACTGCAGTGTGCCACCATGGATGCTAAACCCCCTCACCTAATTCTAAAATCTCAGTCCATATTTCTTCGCCTCAGCGGCTAACCTTTTGTCTCGGTCAACTGCAGACAGATACGAAAAAGCTTTCTCCACATCCTCTACTGGATTCTCTTCCTGTAAGTCGATATCATCCTTCCCATCCGTAGTATCTTGTTGCACAACTTTTTCGTGTGCGCACCTGTATTTGGTACGGATATCGGTATCGGTATATGCATTAAAACATTTAAGTACTCCGTTTGGATTTTGTGGTGTGCGTATTTCTTGGTTGCTTTCTGATTACTGCTACGCTGAAAATGAACATCTGATTTGCATCATTGTTCGAATCTTTTATGCAATTTAATACTCGTATTACATTGAAGTAGGTCCTGACATTTTTCCGAGTTCATATGCTGTATATGAGTTTAAATCTTCCGAGTCCCAACAAGTGGTCTTTGAATTAAATATGTGCATATGTTCTTTGTGTTTTTGCCTGTTAGATAAATAATTTTGGCATCGGAATATCTAGTTTCCCCAAATTATACTATCTAGATTATCTGGTTAACAGAAGAGAATGTTTCCTATAAGGCTATAATGGCAAATCACTTCAGCTTGATAGCCATATGTCATTTTATGTGTATATTCTAATTAGCTTAATTAAGTGCTGATCGCCGTTGAATGCAATCCTGGCTATCACTGTGAAGACACACACACAATGGCCTGTCGAGCCCTTTTAAGGAAAAGGAAGCTCGTCTCAGACTATTTGGAGGCATCTGTTCAGTCAATTCAAAATTTTCAGAAATTCAGCTCTCTTCAGCCCACTCATTGTTTTGGAGGTGTTGCCTCTGCCGGAAACCACCTTTGTCAAACTTCAGACTATCCAAATGATCACGAAGAAGTTTCAAGTTTTCCAACATCAAGATTTTTATGGAATAGATCTGTTGGAATCATACTACCTGGCCATGGAAATCTTGGAATCAAATTGCCTGTAAGAATGAATCTCATCTCACCTATGGGACAGAGATTCTTTCCTTCCTCTGCTCATTATTCTTCAACAGCAACTGCAAAACAATCTGATAGTGGAAGTGATGATGAAAATGAAGATCTGATTGCGAAAAAGAAGAAAGAACCATCTCCAGAGGAATGCGATCAAGCTGTTGAAGGGCTAAGTTCTGCTAAAGCAAAAGCGAAGGCAAAACGACTCCTAGAATCTCAGAAGGTTGCCAAATCTGCGGTACAAAGAGTATGGGCTACACTATTGGGTATTGGCCCAGCCTTGCAAGCTGTAGCTTCCATGAGCAGGTTAGAAAATGTTCAAAAGGTAAACTAGTTTACATGTTCCTGTGGTTATAGTTTGATTTGGTATCATTATGTCTTTGTTCAGGGAAAATTGGGCCAAAAAGCTCACTCATTGGAAGAAGGAGTTTATATCCACACTGCAACACTATTGGCTGGGTTCTAAGCTTTTGTGGGCAGATGTGAGGATCAGTTCTAGGCTATTGTTAAAACTTGCCAAAGGGAAGAGTCTGTCTCGTAGGGAGAGGCAACAACTTACACGCACTACAGCTGATATTTTCAGACTGGTTCCGTTTGCTGTATTCATCATTGTGCCATTCATGGAATTTTTGCTGCCAGTTTTCTTGAAATTATTTCCCAACATGTTACCATCAACATTTCAAGACAAGATGAAAGAACAGGTAAAGATCCACGGTTCTGATTATCTGTAAGGTGTTTTTCCTCGATGCAGTCTCGTAGCATCATTATTGTCTTTGTCAAGGTTTAAAAAGGCTGGTTTGGGTATTGAGGTGGTTTGTTCTAGAGAGGCGAGGCGTAACCCTCAAGGTGTATTGAGGCCTAAGCCTCAAAATATAGCAATAGATAAAACATACAATAGTTAAACTAGTAATAAACAACTAAAGAAATGGATAATTACAGGTCAAAAAAATATCAAACACAAACACAAGTATGAACAGAAGCCATTCATCATCAGATGGCAAATCATCAACCAAAAGATTTTCCTCATCATTGGTTAGGAGTCTTAATTTAAGGAGTCCATCTTTCATCTTGTAAAACCTTGACCAGTTCTAGGAAAAGATGACCAACAGCTTAGTAGTAAGATAGTACAAGAAGAATGAGGAGAGAAGGAGAAGAATAAGAGAAGTAGAGGAGATGAAGAAGGAGAACAGATGTAGAAGAGGAGGAGCAGAAGAATGGACTGTTTGTAAGAAGTTGTCTACTTCTTTGTGAAGGAGTATGAAAACTTCTGTGCTCAAGTTGTCTCACCTTGAGGCGCGCCTCAAAACCCGCCCTAGTCAACTGTGTGCAATTTTGTGTTTTAGCATCTTTCTGGAGGCTAGAATTTATGTTCTTGTTCATGTTCTATTGATCCTTTGGAGTTGTCATTTGTTTCTTTTCCTATAGTTTGCCATTACTTGTATGGCCTCCAAATAGTTTTCTATTTACAGATGAACTTAATAGTACTCCGTATATGCTTTGCATGCAACCTTATGCATACATGCAGGGGCGGATCTAACATTGGCATCGAGGAAGGGCCAAAATTTATTTAAATAAGTATATTGTAAAAAAATGTCAAAACTTTAATCAACTATATATATATTTTGGAAATCATTTATAATATAAAAAATGATATAAAAATGTTCTTTATTAAAAGTGCTTTCATAAAAGTACTCGTATAAAATTTAAACTTTCATAATACTCTACTATTCAAATCCATGATCCAAATTTTAACGTTTGGCTAAATATTCTGGGACGGAAATAGTATGTATCTAACAAATCTCAGATATAAAATAACATCTGTTTCAACAAAAACGTCAAATAAAATAAAAATATTAAAAGAATAATTTTCTTTGTCAAAGTCAAATACAAAACCCCTTAACCCCCTCAAATTTACAACTATTTTTAAGGGATTTTCATGGACTGATATTATCAAATTAGATGCAAACATGAATGTAAGAATTATAATTATACTACAGAATAGTATATTTGAACTAAACTAATTTATTGTTTAGGCTATTAAGAATTTAAGATGGGTGTTAAGCTTGTACAAATTGATGGAGATTGAGTTGAAATAGAAAATACTTGAAGGAGATATTTGAAAGTTTTAAAAAACCTTGCTCTCCAACAGAAAATTTAAAAAATCTATGCTGCCTATGGGAATTGAACACCAGACGTGTGAGCTGCATGCGTGGGTTACTAGTGCTAACATTCTGGCTAGTGCTAACGTTTTGGCTTTCTTTATTTTCATGCTCTTTCTCCACAACACCATATAAAATATACATATACATATATGCTAGTAAAAAAGAAAATTGTTGAGTGTGGGCCTAGGCCCTCTCTAGTCCTATACCAGATCCGCCCCCCTGCATACAGGAAACATTATTCTTTGTTATTACTCTTCTGAATATTTTATTCTTGAACCAATGCATTTTATTTGCATGGTTGAACCGTAGGAAGCATTAAAGAGAAGGTTAAATGCGAGGATAGAATATGCGAAATTTCTTCAAGACACTGTTAAAGAAATGGCAAAAGAAGTACAAAATTCTCAGAGTGGGGATGTAAAGAAAACAGCAGAAGATCTGGACGAGTTCCTGAGCAGGGTAAGCATACTTTCAAAGAATTCCATGAAAATGTAAAACCTACCTCCCTGCCTGCAGAAATAGGAAAAAGTAGAGATAAAATAAAGGGAAATTGCCTTAAATAGGACTAAAAACGTGTGTATATTCCAAAATAGGACTAACATGTTTTTATTCTCAAAATAGGACTAATTACTGCTGTGTTTTGGCAGTCCCAGACTTTAAACATGACAGTATTTTCCAAACTTGGCAGTAATTACTCCTATTTTGGGAATAAAAACATGACAGTCCTAATTTGGAATTTTCAAACTTTTTTACTTCTATTTCGGGAATTTTCCCTAAAATAAAACGAGGGTGGAATTTTGATGTTATCAACATGTGTCACAGACTAGAAGAGGCGCTCCCGTCGCAAATGAGGAAATTTTGGGGTTCGCTAAATTATTCAATGATGAACTCACTCTGGATAATATTAGCAGGTTTTGTGTATTGCACTTTTGATGAACTTGTTTTCTAGTTTTCTTCTTCCTGCTGTGTGGATATATAGAATTATGGGCAACATATTTTCTGTTTCAGGTCTCGATTAGTAAGCATGTGCAAGTACATGAGTGTCCGTCCTTTCGGAACAGATGCATATTTGCGTTATATGCTTCGAAACAAGTTACAAAGGTATGCCATATCATTAAGCATGTTATTTTCTGAAATCAGTGCTGCTATGTTACTTTAGCGTATCTGAAGTATGTTGATAGATGCTGGATTGCTGGGGCGTGTGAGCAAGCAGTGAATTCCTAGTTGGTTACTATTTGGTTGAGTAATGCTAATTATTTTTTATTGCTTAAATAGATGAAGATTATTAGATAGTTTTTAATCCAGTATTATTTCTTAGTTATTGTATTAGTTTATGACTTCAGAACTGGCATTGTATTTAATATAAACAATGAACTGTTGTCTGTTCACTCTGTTGGTCTTTCATCATACAAGGGAGTTTTGGGTCTACAAACCCAACCACAGGGAGATGAGAATCTCAACCCCCTTACATGTTCGTTTCATTGCAATGAATCAGCCCATAACAATCACTCATATAGCACATAACATATTTAACAAATTTTCATATAGTTTAACAAATTTTTCACCTGCCCCAAAATTATAGCCCATTTTGACTGGCAGAGAAAGTAAAATTGCATGATTAAGATTTATTTTAAAAAGAAAAATATCATCAACCCCATATTGCTTTCCTTAAAAAGAAACTAAACTAATATCGGGACATAAAAAGGAAAGTGGGAAGATAGTTTAGGGGGCAAAGGGAGTATGCAAGAATCATTTGAGTCATTGGTGTCTTTACATATCACAAATATCTATGGATGCTTTATTTGCATTATTCCATTCCCCTTGTTCTACTTAACTGAATCTGAACATTTTATAGGATCAAGAATGATGATAAATTGATTCAAGCTGAAGGCGTGGAGTCTCTATCAGAGGCTGAACTTCGTGAGGAGTGTAGAGAGCGTGGCATGCTTGGGTTGCGTTCAGTAGATGATATGCGTCAACAGGTGCTCCCCTTCTCCTCCTTTGAAACCTTCCATTTCCCCCAGATATGGAGCATTTTTACCTAATGCTCATCATCATCATCATCATCATCATCATCTCAATGCCGCAAAGGCTCCCACCTACGGTGAGGTAAGGGGGGGTCGGATGTATGCAGTCTTACCCCTGTACTAAAATCGCATAGTGAAAATCACATCCAAAATTGCATGGACTGACTGCTGCTTCATAACAAAGAAGCGCAGACCGTTTAGTGAGCCATTTTGCTTTATTCCATCATATTCTCAAGCCAAAATATAGTGAATCTTTGGCTCAACTGCATCTTTACCTAATGCTATTGGACAAAATAAGTTTCACAGTTTCTTTGTATTTATTAGCTATCTGTAAATTTGCCAACCTCATCACACTTTGATGTGAAGTAATTGCAGAAAGTAAAGGAGTTCACCAAAACTTTTGGTTAGGAGGCTATGTCCTATTTTGATAACTTGCTCATTAGTTACATGTGATACATGTGCTGAACTTATGTTTTGATAGATCACCAACCCAAATGGCCAAATACCAGGAAATCTGCTATATTAAGCAATGGATCCTGATAAAACTCAGAAATCCTTAGGAGAATTACAGAAGAACGTAGAACGTAGGTAGAGAAAACAATAAGACAAATAAGACTGTCTCTCTCTTCCCAGGGCCCACCCACTAACAGAATTCCCAGCTGCCTCTAATTCCTTTCCCCACCTCTATTAATAATTTCCCACCCTCGGGTAAGTCCCCCTCTCCTTTTGTATACTTTATCAAGATACTCAATATTAGGTTTAATTACATTCATGCCTTTGTCTCTATCATGTTTCAGCTTTTGTTAATAAAAAGCGTGTGTTGCTCTTTTATATAAATATTATGCTAGTGCGTAAAAGTGTAAAACCGCAAAGTTTGTGCTGCTTGAAAAAGAGAAAAACATAAACATGGTTACTGATGCATAGGTGCTGCTTTACATCCCATTTTGCTGTCATGTTTCTTATTCAATTGTTTCTTTCTACTGCAGCTGCGTGACTGGTTGGATTTGTCACTTAATCATGCAATACCATCTTCATTGTTGATTCTGTCCAGGTACATTGAATCACACTATCTTATAGCAACACACACGGGAACATGCACGCACATACACAGGCAGAGAAATTGTTAGTTTTGCATGATACAGATTCTGAGAGTTTCATTGGCCTTAGCTTTTTCCAATATGCTGTATATAGGGCTTTCATTGTATCTGGAAGGTCCAAGATAGAGGAGGCAGTAGGGGCTACATTATCTTCACTTCCAGATGAAGTTGTGGACACTGTGGGTATCACATCCTTGCCATCTGAAGATTCTGTTTCAGAAAGAAGGAGGAAATTGGACTATCTTGCTATGCAAGATGAACTTATCAGGGTTAGTAAACTTATTTATTTTCAACTACACCATTACTGATTTGATGTTCCCTGCCTATTTGGCTATTTTCTCCAAATTGTTGTAACCAAGCAACCATGGTTATTTTTTCCAAGTTGTTGCTTATTTGATGTTCTTCACCTGTTTTTTTCCCTCCAAACCTCCCCAAATTGCTTATTTGAAGATCTATACCTGTTTGGTTATTTTCTCCAAACTGTTGTTACCTTCCTAAATAGAGCAAATGACCATGGTGTTGGGGAACAGGAGACCTTGTTCTCTACCTGTTTGGTTATATTCTCCAAATTGTTGTGACCTCCCGATATAGATTAAACGACCATGGCGATGGTGAGTTTTTTTCCACCACCAGGCCATAAAAAGTTGAAACCACCCGGTCTACCCTCTAAAATTATTAATATAATTTACTCCATCAGTTTTTACTCAAGGAATGGTTGGTGCTTCAACCTTTGTTTCTAATCAATTGGATCACATAAAAATCTTATAAGTTCATTGTGCCCTTTGGATTTTCCCTGTGCATTAATGCTTAAATAGGTGTGTTATTTTATCTTCTGAAGTATTCATATATGCATTCTTCAATTATCTCAACATATTAAGTTCCACTAAGAAAATGGACACAAGATGTTCATTTGTAAAAGATAAAAATGGGTTAACTGGTTGATTGAATAGATTTCTAATGATTTTTCAGTGGATCATAAATGGATCATTCATTGTTTTTAATCCATCTATTGTAACCCTAAAATAATATCCAACCCATCCATTTGACACCCCTAACTATGATAAGGCTGTTTCACTGGGCCAATTTAACAATTGGTTTTGACAGGTTGACTTTCATCCGTAAGAGGGGCCTGAATAGGTTGCAAAAGATCCAACTTCATGTTTTAACTAACCCATGATGGCACGAAGGCACGGATTAAAAGAAACAACCGAGGATACAAAAGGTGGGGGGTGGGACCAAACAAACTCTCGCCAGCCGGCATACCCGCCAACAGATATAAAAACAGATCAACAAAAACACATCCACACCGAAATTAGATCAAAACTTCAAAGCTTACCAACAAAGATAACTACTACCCCTCATCTTCGGTTAGGATGCCACCCTTGCACTCTATTGGGAGATCCCACCATTAAATAGATCTCAATCTAGCTTCTGGAGAACATTTATCGATTTAGTCAATTTTCTGCACAAATACCTTCTTTTTCAACATGATTAATTTTCATGTTGCTACCCACAATAAGCTTCATGATCCTCATGCACACAACAATATTCTTCCAATTTTTATTGAATGAAGTTTAAATTAAGCCCAACTTCAAATTTTGTATGTTTACCACTAAACTCCAACCACCAACTTTCTCAATTGGGTTGAAAATTTTGTTTTTTAGTAACCATAGATGCGCTTTTCAGTATTTTCTACGTATTTTCTTATTTTGCAATACCATATATTTACAAAATAAATCACAAGCTATCATGAAAAAGATTTTGCTATCAACACGAGTTGACCGGCTCTTCTAATAACTTGTCGAACTCAACTTGTATTTTGACACATATAAGATTCTTTTTTTAAATTCCTCTTTTGACATTCAAGTCCCACAACATTGGCTCCAGTATACTAATTTTTTAACTTATGCATGCAACAATGCTTTGGGTGGAGGCTGTGGACCAAAGTAACTCTGCTGTCTTTCCTGTTTTCTGTCTGCAATCTTTTGTTATCTCATCTTTCGCTTTCCATTTTACTTACTCAACCCTAATTTTTTTTTCCATTTTGAACTAATCATGCCTTTTCTGAGCCCTTTGTACTTCGTTATGTAAATCTATAATTCTTTGAAATATCACTGTTAATTTATACATTTCAACTGGCATAGGAGGAGGAAAAGAAAGAGGAAGAAGAGCAGGCCAAGAAGAAGGAATGTGTTGGTAGTCACGATGATATTGCTCTGAAAGAGATGATTATTCCAACAGCTAGAGAAGCACAAGAACAAGCTAGAGCAAAAGCTCTTGACAAACAAGAGGATCTATGTGAAATCAGCCAAGCCTTAGCTGTCCTGGCTTCTGCCTCTGTGAGTGGATTAACACTTGTTTGACCTCTGTTTAAGTCTGCTTTTAGGTTGTAAGTTTCCTTTCTCACATGTCTTTCTCTTGTGAAATGAGACTTTCAGTCTGTGAGCAGGGAGAGGGAAGAGTTTCTAAGGCTTGTTAATAAGGAGGTATGTTTTTGTTTAAAGTTTTGTTGATGTCGGAATTCGGAAATACTAGTGTCCAGTAGAGAGGCAAAATAGGTTCACTACTCTATTCTCCAGGTTAATAGAAATAATGATATAACCTGGAGCAATAGAGTAATAAACCTATTTTGCCTCTCTATTGGATTAGCTTTGTCTCATAAACAGACATGGCCAATCTTTATTCCGTCTTTTCATTCCCAAAAGAAACAGTTTGTTGATTTCTTCTGTTGGTTTACTTTTTCATTATGTGAAATGGACTGTATAATGACAGTTGGAACTTCCATTCTCTGTTTTAATGTACTTTTTATGTACCCCTATGTTGGAACTTTTTGAGGAAAGGAAAGTGATTTGGCATTACAAGCTAGAAAATTAGGATGACTCTTGCATTTGTTCCTGCCCTCTGAGCAACTAATACTCGTGATTTCTTTTGTACATTTACATATTTTTTGCCCACTTGTAACTGCTCTATTCTCATTCAAGTTCATTGGCATTTTTATCATCAAATATTATTGAATTGAAAGATCCTAATCATTGCTCTCCACTTCAGTGGTTTTAAATATTTGCGTAAAACCCAGTGTTTGATTAATTAATTAATTACTTAACTGCATTTACACTACCTTTGGACCATAAACATGCAAGTCGTCTTTTCTATGATCAATGAGATCTTATTTAGTGTGCTTGGATATGTAGTGGTCAGTCTTTAGTTTGATACGTACACAAAAGTATGTTATGTTATTACAGATAGAACTCTACAATAGCATGGTAGGAAAAGAAGGTACTGATAATGAAGTAGATGTCATGAAGGCATATAAAGCTGCTCGTGAAGAAAGTGATCCAGTCTCTGAAGTTACTGCACAGGATGCAGTGTCTTCTGCTCTTGTAGATAAGGTGTGAGGCCTTCTGTTACATATGAAATTTCTAAAATCAATTTAGATCCCCCAAAATAAATAAACATAGGAAAACCCAATGCAAAGATGTCTCACAAGTCACATCGATGTGGTATTACTTTAACACAAAACTTATGGCTGTTCGTTTGGTCTGTTTCAGGTTGACTCAATGCTTCAGAACCTTGAGAAGGAAATTGATGACGTAGATGCAAAAATTGGTGACCGTTGGCAAATCCTTGACAGGTAAAATATGAAGTAGCATAGAATTATTTTGAATAGGCACTAAGCCCATATTTGGTTGGGGATTTTGAAGGGGGAAGGGGAGGGAAGAACAATATTTATTTATTTTATTTTTTCCTTACTTGAGATAGTTGGAAATAAAGCGAGCCCTTGTTTGGTTGGTGGATTTTGAAGGGAAGAGATAGAGAGTGGGTTATATATACTTTATTTATAATTCATTCTCGCTTAAGATGGTTGGCGATATAGTGAAGATGGGAAATCATATTAAAACACATGATTTAACTAAAAGTATACTCCAGTTATTTTTCAATGCAAGACAAAGAGATAGATAAAACTGAATCCTCCTACTCCCCCAGCACAACCAAACAACCCTAAAACTATGTTTGTTGTGATTGAAACATTTTACCTTGATTCATCCCAGTGATCTCGCTGTATATGTAGATTGATAATGCTCTCACATGTACAGGGACTATGATGGGAAAGTGACTCCTGAAGAGGTGGCCGCCGCCGCAATGTACCTGAAGAAAACTCTGGGAAAAGAAGGGATTCAAGATTTCATTACCAACCTCTCCAAAGATGCAGGTTTTTTCTTATTCCTCTAGTGTCTTTATGTCAAAATAGCTCCCTATTGCCTCTTTATGTCAAAACCCTGCACATGTTTGTGTTTACATATCCTTGTGCAACGGTATTATTTCTATATTGCAATTGGGAGTTTAGCATTGTCGTAATTTCAGACCATTTATATTAGCCCCATTTCCTGCCAGAAAAAAGGAATAGAAAAGTATCTTTCTGAATGCTAGCTAGCACAATATCATAATTTTACTATTGATGTATTCCCATGGAAATAGTATAGTTGTATTTTCACTTTTTTGTACATATGCAGATGGGAAAATTCTTGTGGAAGACATAGTCAAATTGGGAAGTCGTGTAGAAGATATGAGGTCAGGTGGCATGTAGTAATATGAAACAGTTTAGTCATTTAATTAATACTTCTGGCTACTGTTTTATCTGTGCCAAGCTTTGGTGCTTATAGAGATTCGATTCTCTGGTTTCATATTGAGGGTTTTACCCAAAATATTACTTTAAACCATATTCTGGACATAAATATAACTAAATGGTCACTTTGAGCACCATTATAGCCCACTGCACCGGTCAAATAATAGTCACTTTGCATTAAAGCATTAGGTAGGTTACATTGTTGTCCATAACTCTTTTAAAGTAATATATATTACAGTATTTCTTTCATATTACCAAGAATTAGTGCATTTTGCGCCTTTTATATTCCCTTTATTCTTTCTTAAAACTGTTCTATAGTTCAGCGAAATTCATCAGATTTGTACTACTCTATTTTCTATCCCAAGTTTCATGAAAATTGGGGTTCATAGTTTTATTTTGGATTTAGGGAGTACTCGAGACTGTATTTGCCTCATGTAACTAATCAGTCATATACTTACTCATTGAAGTATTGAGTGAAATTCTTAAGTTTCATGGAGACAGTCTAAGAGCTGAAATGCTAGATGAAAATACAATTTTAGAATAGAAGATCTTTTCATGAACCTGCCGGCTTTTGAGAAATTTGAAAAACATACTGAGAAGGCCTACAAGAACATGCTAACAATTGGGGGTTTTGAAGAAGATTGTGTTGCAACAGTGTACTTCACAAATTCCTTTTTATTATTTGACACAAATATGTGATTCATATTTGCCTAAAGCAGGAAAACAATATCAACAACAAAATAATTGCCTTAAAATAGAAGTGAAAATAAATCTGAGAAGGGCACTAGCAAGTAGCAAATGAAATTGTTACTCCGCATTAATCTCTTTATTTCATGACTAGGGTATTTAACAGACACTGGTGTATGGTGTTTATTTAATACGGACCTACATTTTAGTGCACTTACTAAAATACAGTTGGGAAAATTAGTTGGAACGTATAAGAGTTAAGATTACTGCATTAATCTATATGCAAATTTTGAACACAGTATATAAACTTTCTTAGCTGGTTCTAAATCTAAAGGAAATATGTAGAGAACATTAAATGTGGACACTTCAAGGATATGCTTTCATGCAACACACATTCATTTGGTGATGAAAAGTAAGATATCTGATCATCATCTAGTGAATGTATGTCATATAGGAATGCCTTCTCGAAGTGTCTATATTTAATGTGCCTTTAACATCACACAATTATTTGAGCATTGTATGGCAAAGTGTTGCGACTACTTGGTATTTGACTCATCAAAAGCCATATGTGAGATGAAATCTCTTATACTCACATCAGAACTTCCTCATTCACTTGTTGCCTCTTCTGCTAACCGTTTCCATTTAGCCGCATTTCTCTGCAATACATTGTCTTTTGCTCCCTCAGTTGCTTGCTTTATGGATCCACTGATCTGATGTCTGGTTATGAGTTTTGTCTTGCTAGTCTTGATCCGGATTCTGACTTGCCAAACATCCTCCATAAATTTTGCATTGGTTAGTTGATTATCATGTTGGGGAATGCCTACCATCGGCACGCCCAATGTAAGTACTACATACATTTTATTTATAAATAAAGGAAAAATTATATGAAAAATAGTTAAAATGAACTACAGTAATTTTAGTAAATTCAGCCAGGAAAGTAACTATAATTTTACTTATTTTGATTATTATAATACCTATAATTCAATATGCGAAATCAAAAGTACATATCTGATAAAAAAGATGACTGATAAGGCCGATACGCCGAAAAACCATTAATCTCAACCACAACTTTAAAATCAATACGGAGGAAAATATTTATTCACAATTGCACATGTTTGTTACAATTATGAAGGTTTTCTTGACAAATTTCATGCGTGTCCGCCTTTAACTAGCTAGTGACACTACTTCCTGTAAAATCTTGCATATAGACTCTCTTGTAATGAATCCCATAATTAGTTGCGCTTCAACTTTTCAAATAGCGTTTAATATGCTTGTCTCTATATAATTTATTTATCAAACTTGTACTTGCGGTTATGTTAACTGCATTAGTACCTAACTCAAAATCTGACGTTTGGAATTTCGTCAATTTGCGAGTACATGTCGTGAGGTCAAGAAACTCCATGGATAATGAAAGTTCCAATATATTATGAACTGTGAGTGGTATTGGCCCCATTCACATTTATTGAGCTTGGCCCATAATGGGCTGTCCGCCCTAACCAGCCCACTCACCCTTAGTTTGTCCTGTCCAGCCCGTGATTCCTGTGGCCCCTTGAATATATTTGTCCCGTTCCTTCTAGAGACCACTATTTACTTCCGCTTCTTTCTCCCTCTTCGATGAGCCATTCTGAGCGTCGCCCTAGTTCTAGAGTGAGAGAGAGAGGAGCTGTCTTGGGTTGTGCTCTGGCCACCCTCCGACTGTCTCCTGGGATACCTTTGGGTGCTTCACTCTTGGCTGGTTGGTTGGGGGGTTTCTCCGGTGGGTTCTTTCTGAGTGAGGTTGAGGTTGAATGCTGTGGCTGTTGCCCTCCCCTTTTCCCTTTAGAAGCCCTCCGGTGGTTGGATGACGAGCAACCTTCGTGGTTTGGTGATTGAGGTCTGAGCCGGTCCTAAAATCTCTACAGTTGTATCAGAGCTTTGGCTGTTGCCTCCTCTCGTCGGGATCTCGCCGGAAGTCTCCCCCGCCTGGTAACACCTCGACTCCAGAGCCTTCACCTTATTGGTAAGTCGGACAGTCCCACCTGGACTTCCGCTCAGGTATAAAGCTTGAAACTTGACTCTTGGGCTGCTGGAGTGCCACCGGCTTCTGTGTTGCATGGGTAAATCTGAAACCCCAGGTTGAAGATCTACCGGTTAGAAACCCTAGATCAATTGTTGCATGTGTAGATTCTGTCTAGACAGATCTGCAGAAACCCTAGGCCTGTTTTATTCATGCATAGGTGGTACCAATCTGTGTCGAACTTGGTCCACCATTATCTTTGTGATTATTTGCCTATCTTTGTGATTCTGTGCTCAACCTTGTTGATGTTTACTTGTTGAATTGACTACTGTTAATATCAATATCCTGCTCTTTTAGCCTTTGTGATTCTTGAGTTTTTGGCCCTCACTGTCATCTCTGCACCCTTCCTTTAACTCTTATTCTGCTATTGCACTTGTTCTCTGTGATCTCTTCTTTTTCCAGTAAGTCTTTTACCTGTGTTGGTTTCTGATCCCTGGTAATATTGTGGCACCATAACCCTAGTTGGCTAAGGCACCTGAGGTTAGGGCTAGGGGATTCCCTGCCAGCCACTTCAGTGGCCCCGAATCTGCGTGGTCCCTTAGTCCGTGGCCTAACCTTCTAGGGCTAGCCTTATATTACCCTTGGCTCAGTTACCTTGTGAACTGTTGTTTACCGTGTCTTCAAATATGTATGGTATGCTCCCCTTCAATGGTAAATCTGATTTTGATATATGGAAACATAAAATAAAATTTGTGCTAATTCAGCAAAAAGTGTATAGGGCTGTGACTGATAAGTTCTTAGATACTGAGGATAAGCACAAACAATTAGAAATGAATGAAACTGCCTGTTCCACCATTTACTTAAACCTCTCTGATTCAGTTCTTAGAAAAGTTGGAATATTAGAGTCTGCCAAGGCCTTATGGGAAATTATTCTTGCTTGAAAAATTCTTTAGGTTTAGGCTTGACCTAACTAAAGACATTGAGGAAAACCTTGATATTTTTTATAAGTTGATTCAAAATATTAAGCAAGCAAGAGATAAACATATAGATGACTATACCCCAATTGTTTTACTCAACGCTATTCTCGATTCCTACCATACTTGTCACGGCGGTGAGGCGAGTCGCAGCGCCAGCCGACCGCCATATCGCCTAGGCGACAATTAGGCAACTTGTCGCACAATACACATAATTATATTTTATACATAACAATACAACATTCTATTTAATTTGTAGTTTAATTACATATTATATATGATATATTAAGAATGCAATTGTATATTGCCTAATAATTTATTAATATATTAGTATACCTAATTGACTAATATGCAAATTATTAATTTCAATATTAATATACCCAATTTATTAATTTATTATATATCTAATTTATTAATATACAAGTTATATTCATTGCTAATATATACTGTAGTATGTATCTATGCATGTTGTATAGTGTGTACGAAATATACATATATTATATTAAAATTAAACTATGTAAAACTGTAGTGGATATACTGCTGAGTGGGTACGAAGTATTAATATTAATGTTTAATATCAATATATAATAGAATAAGAAGTCTGATAAAGACTAACGTGATAAGATGAATGACCGATAAAAATAAAAGGCTGGGAAGAGCGCACGTCGTCTTCAACCTTTGACGCAGGAACACATCAACTACAGATCGCCTACAGACGACCTTGCTACAGAGGCACAAATCAGAAAAGTAACGACTAGCGATGCTCCGCCTTTAGGAATCGCCGATTGAGCTTCGAGGTTGAGAGTTGACGATTGTTCTTTTAGACTGGGCTTCAAAAAATGAATTTATTGAGATTTCAAATTTCCCCTGGCGAGACTGCGCCTGGACGACATATTCACGCCTGGACGATGCCAGAGGCGACTAGCCTTCTTCTGACGAGTCGATCTCCCCTGTCGACCCTTCTCCATCGCCAGGACGCCTAGTCGGCGACTAGGCGACGCCTAGGCGACGCCGTGACAAGCATGATTCCTACAATGATGTTAAGTCTGCCATAAAGTATGGTAGGGATGAGATTACACTAGATATTGTTATTAATGGCTTAAAGAGCAAAAAGCTTGACTTAAAACATTCTAGGGGTAATAGTAATCACTCTAAAGACTCTGGTGAAGCCTTTTTTGTTAGGGGCAGATCTAAGAGTAAGTCTAGGTACCCTAGGAAGGATAACCAAGATAAAAGTAGTAGGAACCCAAGCAAGAAGAGGTACAAATCTAAGAAAAGAGTGTGTTATAACTGTGGGAACCCGGGTCATTTCATCAAGGAATGCTCCCGGCCTAAAAGAAATGAACAAGCTAATTCTGTGACTAATAAAGAAATAGGAGATGAAGTCTTTATGATCTGTGATCAAGCAAACTCTGTCTTATGCAGTTTAACTGAAACTGAATGGTTAATAGTAGGGCTGGGTCCGAAAAACCGAAAACCGAAAACCGAATCAAATTAAACCGAACCGCGACCAAATAAAACCGAACCGCTAAAAACCGAAACCGAATGTAAAAAACCGAACCGAACCGTACTAGTTTGGTTCGGTTTTGGTTTTTACCCTTCAAAACTGAACCGAACCGAACAAACCGAACATAAATAAAATATGAAATTTTATTTGTTAAATGTAAGCATTAATCTTAATATCATCAATAATATTTGAATTTCTTGTGCTAGAGAAATAATGTTTATGCTATGTTTAGTTTAGTTTATAAATGCATTTACACATTCATTGCCCATAATAATGTAGCTATATTGATCTATTATGTCTTTTATGTGTGTATGTTGCAATTTGTTGCATGATTATATATTTTTACTAGTTATTAGTAGTAATTAACTTTTATTTTTATGTAACTTAATTCTTTTTTGTAACTTAACTTTTTTATATTGATAAAACAAATAAATATTCATCTCGGCTAAATCACACAGGATGTATGTATTCATAAACGTTTTTCAAACTAGTCACAAACATTGTAAATTAAGAATAGATACACATTTTTATCTCTCCCGCATACTCATATAATTCAAGACATATTTGTTTATTATTATTTTCTTCATTTGTTCAAGTATGCTTGCATTTTTATGTAATATGTTTGATCCCTCCAACTTTTATATCAATTTTAAATTAAATGACAAATATTTAGTAAAAAACCGAAAAAATCGAAACCGAACCAAAACAAACCGAACCAATCCAACCGTGGTTTGAAGTTTTAGAGTGTAAAATCGAACCGAAACCGAACCGAACTTTTACTTTGGTTCCGTATTTGATTTTAGGTCAGAACCGAACCGAAAGAACCGAACCCACCCCTAGTTAATAGATTCAGGTTGTACCTACCATATGACCCCTTTCAAAAATCTGTTTGCTTCTTACAGTATGTGTGACTCCGGTTATGTGTCCCTACCTGTTAGTAAGAAGTGTAAGGTGCATGGCATGGGTGAGATTTGTTTAAAGTTTGAAAATGGAACTGTTTTTACAATAAAAAATGTTAGACATGTTCCTGAACTTGGGCATAACCTGTTTTCCGTTGCTGCTTTTGAAGAATGTGGGCTGGATGGAAAATAAGGTAATGGGTGCATGAAATTCCTGAAAAATTCCTGCAAAACCTTTTTCTGACTCTGCCAACTCTGTACTCTCTGATAAGTCTTCCCTTTGGCACATGAGTAATAAAGGTATGAATATTTTGCAAAAGTCTGGCTGTTTTGGAAATGATTCTGTGTCCCCCATCCTTTTCTGTGAAAATTGTGTTTTAGGAAAGCAGCATAGGGTTAAGTTCCCCTCAACTGTCAATCCCAGTGAACCTAAGTCTAAATCTGTCCTTCAGTACATACATGCTGATGTATGGGGTCCGGCGAGTATCCCTACCCATGAGGTAGAAGATATTTTCTGTCTATAATTGATGTCTTCTCTAGAAAAGTCTGGGTCCTTTTGTTAGAAAACAAATCTGATGTATTTGTTAAGTTTAAAGAATGGAAAATTATGATTGAAAACCTAACTGGCTGTAGAATTAAGACCCTTAGGACTGACAATGGCTTAGAGTTCTGCAACAATAATATGGATAGGCTTTGTGTTGAGTTTGGGATTACGAGGCATAAGACTGTGCCCTACACTCCCCAGCAAAATGGAATTGCCGAAAGAATGAATAGAACCCTCCTTGACAAAGTCAGAAGCATGCTTGCTACTTCTGGCCTCCCCAAGAAGTTTTGGGGAGAAGCTGTGAACACTGCCTCCTACTTGATCAATAGGTCTTCTTCTGTGCCCTTAGGGGGAAAATGCCCTGAATCGATTTTTTCAAATAAACCTATTAATCTGTCAAACTTAAGAGTATTTGGGTGTGCAGCCTATGTACACCAACAGACTGATAAACTTGAACTTAGATCTAAGAGGGGTGTTTTTCTGGGTTATCCTGAAGGGGTGAAAGGGTATAGGATTTGGGATAGGAGTCAGATTGGCTTTAAGGTCATTGTCAGCGGGAATGTTGTTTTCAATGAGTCTGACTTTCCCTGTTTAATTAAAACTGTAGACAATCCTAATCCTGAGTCTAGGAAGCCTCCCAGTGAGGTGGAGCCCATTCCTATTGCTGCTGATCCTATGTTGATATGAACAATTCCGACTCCTTTGATTCTCATGATTTTTCTCAAAATGAACATGAAAACTCCTCTACCTTCAATGAGGTGGACCATTCCAGTGAACATGAAAATGAGATGTTGCATGATGTTGTTAATGAATCTTATTTTACTGATAATAGTGAACTGGAGGAGATTAATGCCGAACAGAATAACAGTCTGAATAACTATCAATTGGCTAGGGATAGAAGTAGAAGAACAATTAGGAAAATTTCTGATAGCATGACTGATTTTGCTTTTCATGTCTGTGACACTTCTATGTTTGCCCTCTGTCTTTGAGACCCTAGACCTAAATGAACCTAAGTCCTATAAGGAAGCCCTAGCATCTAAAGAATCCCAAAAATGGCTTAGTGCTACGAAAAGTGAGATAGAGTCGCTTTGGATTCTTGTTCCCAGACCACCTAACAGTTCTGTGGTAGAATGTAAGTGGCTTTTCAGGATAAATAAAACTTGGATTCTTGTTCCTAGACCACCTAACAGTTCTGTGGTAGAATGTAAGTGGCTTTTTAAGGTTAAAGAAGAATCAAATGACATTAGGTTCAAAGCTAGGTTAGTTGCTAAGGGTTTCACCCAAAAGGAAGGTGTTGATTATTCTGAAATATTTGCTCCAGTTGTTAAGTTCACTACTATCAGGATGATGCTTGCGCTTGTTGCCCATAATAACTGGGAAATGAAACAGATGGATGTCACCACTTCATTTCTACATTGTGACTTAGATAAGAAATTTTTTATAAATCAACCTGAAGGGTTTGTTGACCCTAAAAATAGTGAGTCTGTCTGCCTGCTTAGGAAAGCCATGTATGGACTGAAACAGTCCCCCAGACAGTGGAACATTAAATTTGACCAATGCATGTCTTCCTTAAAATTCAAGAAATCTGTCTCTGATCATTGTCTTTATTTTAAGAATACGGCCTCTATCCCTGTTTTCTTGTTGATTTATGTTGATGACATGCTGCTCATTAGTCCTTCCCTAACTGCCATTAAGCATGTTCAAAAGTGTTTAAGTGATAATTTTGCTATGAAAGATCTTGGTGATGCAAAAAGAATCCTTGGCATTAATATCATTAGGGACAGAAGTAAGTCTACACTCGCATTAAATCAGGTTTCTTATCTTGAAAAAGTCTTGTGTAAGTTTAACATGAATTCTGCCACCCCTGTTAATGTCCCTTTGGCTTCTCATTTTGTTTTAAGTAAGGATCGGTCTTTTTCTCCAAAGATCGATCCTGAAATTGAAAGAATGAATAATGTCCCATATCCCAGTGCAATAGGGTCGGTCATGTATCTCATGGTAAGCACTAGACCTGACATCGCCTATGCTGTAAGTTGCTTGAGCAGATACATGGCCAACCCTGGGATGCCACATTGGAATGCACTGAAGTGGTTGTTAAGGTACCTTAAGGGTACCATAAACCATGGTCTGATTTTCTATAACACTCCTGCTGGTATTTCTCTTACTGGATTTGTTGAGTCTAACTATGCAAATGACAGGAATAATAGGAAGTCTACAACCTCCTATATTTTTTCACTTTGTGGTTCTTGCATAAGCTGGAAATCCAAATTGCAACCCATAGTAGCTCTCTCTAATACCGAATTCGAATATGTTGCAGCCACTGAAGCTTTTAAAGAGGTTATTTGGTTGAAACGTATAACTGAAATTGGTTTTCTTAAGCAGGTTGTGATGGTGTACTCGGATAGCCAGTCTGCTATCCAGCTGTGCAAAAATCCAGTATTCCATGATAGGACAAAGCACATTGATGTTAGATTTCATTTTATCAGGGACATTGGTGACAAAGGAGAAGTGAAGCTATGCAAGATTGCCTCTGAATTCAATCCCGTTAACATGGGGACTAAATGTCTCAATTTTGAAAAACTTTGATCTTGTAAGCGAACTCTTAATTTAGACTGTGGCTAGATAAGAACAGATACACAAGAAATCTCGATGATGATCCTCCCTTTCACAATATGCTCGACACCACCAGGGGCCAATAAGGTGGAGAATGTGAGTGGTATTGGCCCCATTCACATTTATTGAGCCTGGCCCATAATGGGCTGTCCGCCCTGACCAGCTCACTCGCCCTTAGTTTGTCTTGTCCAGCCCGTGACTCCTATAGCCCCTTGAATATATTTGTCCCGTTCCTTTTAGAGACCACTATTTACTTCCGCTTCTTTCTCCCTCTTCGATGAGTCGTTCTGAGTGTTGCCCTAGTTCTAGAGTGAGATAGAGAGGAGTTGTCTTCGGTTGTGCTCTGGCCACCCTCCGACTGTCTCCTGGGATACCTTTGGGTGCTTCACTCTTGGTTGGTTGGTTGGCGGGTTTCTTCGGTGGGTTCTTTCTGAGTGAGGTTGACTGCTGTGGTTGTTGCCCTCCCCTTTTCCCTTTAGAAGCCCTCTGGTGGTTAGATGACGAGCAACCTTCGTGGTTTGGTGATTGAGGTCTGAGCCGGTCCTAAAATCTCTACATGGACTCTCGTACAAAATCAGCATTATATGAACTTAAAATTAGTAGAATTTGATAAGTAATACGAAGTACGAAGTATTATTTATATTCTCATATTTTTAAAATAACGTCATATTCACTTACTACTTATGTCATGCATTATATCAAACTTATAAACGAAGTGTTAGCTACGTGACAAACTGATCGACAAACCAACCGAAAATCAAACCAACCAAAACCAAAACTGAATCAAATCAAAATTGACTCAAATTGACTAATCATTAACGGTTTGGTTTACGATTTCACCATTTGGGTTAAAAATTGATTGAATCGAAATCGAGCGACAAAAACATTCTAAAACCGATCAAAACTGACCAAACTGACCAAGATTAACTGAACCAAAACTAAACCAAAAACGACTTAAGTATTATGGTTCGGTTTACGGTTTTACCTTTTCTAATACTGAAGTCTGAAACCGACAAAACCAAAAACTGACCAAACCGAACTGACGAACACCCCTAGAATATATCAAGTATTGGATTAAAAATGTTAACTGAAAAATTGTCCAGTTAAAAATGTTTTTCTGGATTAATTATATACTATGCATAGTATGTGATATTTGCATCCAAAATTATATATTTATGTAACGAAAATGGCAATTTATACCGTGCAATCGGCGCACCATGAGGATGGTGCGCTCGGTTGCAAAACGACGCTGCAGTGGCTTGATTCCATTATTTTTTATTTTTTTATTGTTAAAAATCGTAATAACTTTTTTATTTGATATCCGATTTTTATAAATTTTATATCAATTTTTTTATTTTTCATGATCTATCAAATGAGACCAATATTGATTATGTAATTATAACAAATTATGGAACTATTATATAAATGATTATTGGATTATAAGGAAAACCGGACTAAACTTAATACAAAAAAATAATCGTGTAAATCACAATTTATCTTAAAATTGTGTATATAAAAAAATTATTGTATTATGTATTTATACATGTGAGTTACATATTTTTATACGTAAAGTTACATATTGTTACACGTAAAGTTAGATATTTATACACACGAGTTGCATTTGGCCTGCCTAAACGCGAGTTACATATTTTTACACGTAAAGTTACATATTTTTACACTTAAAGTTACATATTTATACACGCGAGTTACATATTTATACACACGAGTTGCATTTGACATGTCTGAACGCGAGTTATATATTTTTTTACGTAAAGTTATATATTTTTACACGTAAACTTACATATTTTTACATGTAGAGTTACATATTTATACACATGAGTTGGATTTGGTCTGACTGAACGTGAGTTACATATTTTAACACATAAAGTTACATATTTTTACACGCAAATGTTAATATGTTAAAATTACATAAGCAATATTGGTCTCATTTGAAAGATCATGAAAATTTTAAAAAATTTGATATAAATTTTATAAAAATCAGATCAAAAATAAAAAAATTATTAACAATTTTAAGAAAAGGAGAAATAAAAAATAACAAAGGGTGCATGGTGCTCACCATGCACCGGTTGCACGGTGCTCACCATGCACCGGTTGCACGGTATAAGCACTATTGAGGCAACCTGATTCATTCGGAATACATAATTCCGAATCCGTGTTTTTGCGCAATTTATACCCTGCAACCGGCGCACCATGAGGATGGTGTGCCCGGTTGCAAAATGACGCAGCTTGAATGAGATTCCATTATTTTTTATTTCTTTTATTGTTAAAAATTGTAATAACTTTTTTATTTGATATCCGTTTTTTATAAATTTTATATCAATTTTTTTTATTTTTCTTGATCTATCAAATGAGACCAATATTGCTTATGTAATTTTAACAAATTATTTTGAATTTACATTTGATAATATATCATGAAGTTACATCTTCTTCTGCGCGAGTTACATCTTATTGTACGCGAGTTACATCTTAATGTACGCGAGTTACATCTTAATGTATGTGAGTTACACCACGAAATAAACCTCTGCTACATCTTTCATTTTTATCATTTGAAAAATAGTGTGAATATGAAATACAATATACTTATTTTATGTGGATTAATAACATTTTGTATTAAATTGGCAAAGAAAAAACTTAATTCAGTTATAATTGAATTAGTTCAAGATAAAGATAAGTAAAAAATTACAAATAATTAGATATAACTTACACATAATTACATGTAACTCTCACATAAAAGTATGTAACTCGTGTATAACAAGATGTAACTCACATAATTACATGTAACTCACGCATAAAAGTATGTAACTCGTGTATAACAAGATGTAACTCATACATAACAAGATGTGACTCACACATAATAACTTGTAACTGGAGTATAAGATGATGTAACTTCGTATATTATCAAATGTAACTCCAAGCTAGAAGCAAAATAAACAAACTCAATATCTTAAAAATATCTAAAAACATATAAAAGTGATAAAAAAATATATTATAAAAAAATGTATGAATGTAAAAAATTAAAATTACATAGGCAATATTGGTCTCATTTGAAAGTTCATGAAAAATAAAAAATTTTGATATAAATTTTATAAAAATCGGATAAAAAATAAAAAAATTATTAACAACTTTAAGAAAAGGAGAAACAAAAAATAACAAAGGGTGCATGGTGCTCACCATGCACCGGTTCCACGGTATAAAGACGGGTGTTTTTGTACCTAAAAGGAACTCCTGTCTTTTTGCATGCCTTGTTCAAAACACCTTCTTTTTGTCATTTCCCCTTGATTATATCTGTAGAGCCCCCTTAATACACTGAGAATTGTTTAATTGGTGAAAAGATAGATTATAGATATCATAGCCATTCCCCTCCCTTATCAATGTCACATAAACCCTATGCTTCGTTTTTGCGGCTGCTTATCAGCTAGAGGCCTCAAAGTCACCTTAGTCCTCACCCACGGCGTCGCGAAATCCATGCTTTCCTCACTCTCCGGCGCGTACCTTCGGCGAATACGTCACGCGGATGCGGGCCGCAATCTCCGAGGGGGTCACGGTGTCATTGAGAAGAAAAAGAAGAGTAGGTGCTCCGCCGCTGGCGGCGGAGTTGTGGTCTACGATTCCTTCATGCCGTGGGCCCGTGGCTGATGGAGGTGGGACGGGCGGGCGGGCTGCGGGTGGCGGCGTTTTTCTCCCAAATGGCATATGTGTGTAGCATCCATTATCAGAATATGCTGGAAAGAGAGCGGGAGTTCAAGAGTTCGGAAGCAGTTTGTCTGTCGTGTTTGCCGGTGATGGATTCCGGCAACCTGCCATCGTATTCCTACTTCGGAGATATTGCAGAAGAAGTTGCCGTGTTTGCGGGAAACCAGGCCTCCAATATGCACAAAGCTGACTGGTGTTTGTTCAACACATTTGACGCCTTGGAACATGAGGTACATTTTTGTACTATTATTCTTTTTATTTATTTATTCATTGATTTAAAATAAAAATTTCCAAAATATAAGTAAAAGTATTTTGGAATTTTGGAATGAATATATTATGATTTAATTCACTAAATAGAAGTAATTGTTATTATCATAGTAAGATTCATTGCTATCAAAATCAAACATTAAAAATATTGATATATTTAAAGCCTCATCAGGTTATTTAAAGAAATTAAAAATATTGATATTGACACACATTTATTTATTTATGCCAAGAGCACAATAAAGAATTTTCATAATTTACACCGAACCGTCGGTGTAGAGGGTCCACCAATCATCCGAAGAGGCCGAGGGCTCCTCGTCCGTGGCTGATCTTGCCGTACATTCTGTCACGAAGTCCGCTAGGGCTTGGCCCTTGATGGTGGGCCTAGGACGGATGTCGATGTTGTATTGGCTCAGGAAGACAACCCATTTTACCATTCGGGAGGAGCTGGTGGGGCTCCTCATCAAAGCGCCGAGGGGTTGGTGAGTGAGGACCTGGACCGGGTGAGCTTGGAAGTAGTGGCCCAACTTCTTGACAGTCCACACGATAGCCAACACCGTTTTTTCCACGGGGGAATACCGGAGTTCTGCTTCCCTGAGGGTCTTGCTAACATAGAAGATGGCATGTTGGATGCCATCCTCTTCCCAGATGAGTACTGAGCTGATGGCTGCCGGGCTAACACCCAGGTAAAGGTATAGGGTCTCCCCCACCTTGGGTTTAGAGAGCACAGGGGGTGAAGATAAGTACTGTTTCAGTTCCTCGAAGGCCCCCTGACACTCTGAAATCCATTGGAAACCGGCGGTCTTTCTCATGATCTGGAAGAAGGGTAAAGACTTCTCCGCCGATTTTGATAAGAAGCGATTGAGGGCTGCCAGGCGGCCCGTCAATCGTTGGACCTCCTTTACGTTGCGTGGGGGCTCCATGTTGATGATGGCCTGGATCTTCTCGGGGTTGGCCTCGATACTCCTTCGGCTCACCATGTAGCCTAAGAATTTGCCCCCTTGTACGCCGAAGGTACACTTCTTCGGGTTTAGCCGAAGGTTGAACTTCTGCATGATGGCGAAGATTTCCCTCAGGTCGTCAGCATGGCTTCCTGACTGCTTACTTTTGACGATCATGTCGTCAACATATGCCTCCATGGTGCGCCCTAGGACAGCTTGAAATACCCTGGCCACCATCCGAGTGTAGGTGGCGCCTGAGTTCTTTAGGCCGAAGGCCATGACAAGGTAGCAGAAGATGCCCTCGGGAGTCACGAAGGCTGTTTTTTCTACGTGTTCCTCATGCATAAATATTTGATGATACATGCGGAATGCATCGAGAAATGACATGATTTCACACCCCGCGGTTTCATCTACAAGTTGATCAATATTCGGCAAAGGGAAGGGGTCCATGGGACACACCTTGTAGAGATCCGTGTAGTCCACGCACATGCGGAATGAGGGCGGTTTTTGTGCGAGGACTACGTTTGCCAGCCACGAGGGGTATTTTACCTCCTTGATGTGCTTGATAGAGAGGAGCATGGCGACCTCCTTCTTAACAAATTCCCTCCTCTCGGCCGAGAGGGGTCTCCTCCGCTGTTGTACTGGTATGGCCGAAGGGTCCACCGAGAGGCGGTGGGTGATGACCCTTCGGCTGATCCCCGGCATGTCCTCCGGCCCCCATGCAAAAACAATGGAGTGGGCGCGGAGGGCGCTGATGATGCCGGTCTTCAAGTCTTCGGGGAGCTTGACTCCAATCTTCACGACTCTCTCCGGCTTGGCCGGATCGAGCGCGAAGTCTTCTACCTCCTCGGCTGGTTCAGCCCTCAGTCTCCTCTCTTCCGCTTCCACAGTTCCGGTGATGGTGTCAACGCGGAACTCCGTCTTGCTAACCTTCTTTGTCACTTGAAGGTAGCAAGTGCGGGCAAGTTTTTGGTTCCCCCTCGAGTAACCGATGCCCCCCTCGGCTGGGAACTTGAGGCAGAGGTGCCTCATGGAGATGACGGCTTCGAGATCCTCGAGAGCTGGCCGGCCGAGGATGATGTTGTGGGCCCAGTTGATGTTAACGACGACGAACTCCACTTCGAGCTTGGCTCTATGGAGCCCGTCGCCGAAGAGTACCGGGAGGGTTATGACCCCCTCGGAATCAATGGTGTCGCCGGTGAAACCGGCAAGAGGGGTCTTGATGGGCCGAAGGGACCCCCTCTCCAGATGCAGCTCTCTGAAGGTATTGAGGTACATTACATTGACAGAGCTGCCCGTGTCAATGTAAGTTCGGTGAATGATAGTGTCATTGATCTCTGCGCGGATGACGAGGGCGTCCTTGTGTGGAGAGGACACTGGGGGGAGATCAGCGTTAGTGAAGGTAATGGGTTCCTCCCTCAGCCGCTTTACTAGGGGCATATGAGTGACTTCCCCCACGTAAAGTGATTGAGCCCACTTCTTTCGTTGACTCGTAGAATCACCCCCGGTATTGCCCCCGTGATCATGAGGATGTGGCGCTTCTTTTCTTGGTACCAAGGGTACTCCTCCTCCTCTTCTTCCAGGTTCCCAATCTCCCTCTTCTTGCCGAGGGGGATGGTGTTGGGGTTTATCCATGCGTTTGCTTTCGCAGGGTGCCCTCGAGGTGGCCCTTGGTGAGGGGGGACCTGTTGCTGAGGGCCCTAGACAAACTGGGACAGATGGCCAACTTGTATCTACCTTTCGATGGCCGTCTTCAGCTGATGGCAGTCATCGGTTCTGTGCCCCTGATGCCGGTGGAAGTGACAATAGGGGTAGTTTGGATTGATGGCATATACTTCCGGGGGTGCGCGTGAATCTCGCTCCACCAAGCCCCTCTCCTCAGCGAAGTCGAGGATGACGCTGACGGGGTGCGTCAAAGGTGTCCGATGGTGCTCCAGGAGAACAGGCTGTGCCCAAGCCCTCGGGTTCCCCTTGTAACCTCCCCCGGGCTTGGCTTGGCCGTGACGGGGGCGATCACCTGGGGGTGCCGAATCCTTGGGTTGGTTACGGGGAGCCCCCGGTTGCCTTTGTCGTCTGGCCGAGGGCGTTGCTGATCGGGGTTGTGATGGCACTTCTCCACCTCCTCGGCTTCGGCATACTTGTCCCCCCGCTGTAGGGCCCTTATATAATCGCGGGGGGGGGGGGGTCGATGATGAGGCTCCTTGAGAAGTTCCCGGGGCGGAGTACTATTTGAAGGAGGGCCAGGAGGGTCCCGTCGTCTGCACCATCAACTTTATCAGCCTCCGTTCTCCAGCGCTCCAAGAAGTCCCGAAGGGTCTTCTCCTTCCTCTGCCTCACTGTCAGCAAGTGGGAGAAGTGCTTTCTTGTGCGGCGCCTTCCCGCAAATTGCGTCAAGAATCGTTGGGCGAGTTCTTGCCATGAGTCAATGCAGCCCTCGGGCAATCGATTGAACCATTCGTAAGCCGGCCCCTCTAAGGTGGAGAGGAACCACAGCACAAATATTCATCTGATGCCCCCACCATCATCATACTGTTTTGGTATCTGTTGTAGTGCTCCTGGGGGTCAGTTTTTACGTTGTAGGGCTTGATGAGTTGCCCTCGGTATTTTTCCGGGATCCGGGCCGCCAATACCCTTGGGGTAAATGGCGTCCGGGTCCGGATCTGTATGGCGGGTTCCCCGGAGCCCTCGGTTATCTTCTTCTGCATTTCCTCCATCTTGGCCAACATCGCCTCATACTTGAGGTATGTATGAGGGGCAGACGTGGTGGCGTGTGCTTTGGTGGCCTCCATCTCGTCAAGTCGGCGCTGGAGGGCCGCAATGATTTCGTCCCGGGGGTCCTTCGGGAGGGCCTCCGCCCCCTGCGAATGGACACGGGTCGAGTGGGCCTGGTTGATTTGGTGGTGGGCGTCGTTTGCATGGAGAGGTGCCTTGCCTTTGTCCTGAGGGGGACGTCTTTCATTGGCTCTGGAGACGGATCCGCCACTTTCCTGAGGCCTCTGGAACACCTTCCCCCCGAGGCGGACTTGGACCCCTCGGCGGTCTTGCGCCCCTCCGAGTCTCTCGAGGGCGGAGGTCCGGGGTTGTTCTTTGTTCACGTTGTGGCGGTCCCGGGACTGGACTTCCTGGGAGGCCGTATCTTGGGCACTACCCCCTCGACATTCCCAATTCGGAGGACTGGGTTCCCGAGGGGGTGTGGATGAGGGGGAGGCATGATATTCTCCCCGACCTGCGGTTGGAGGGGAACCAAAGTGCCGAAGGCACCCGGGTTCTGGGTGAGCGTTTGGATGAAGGCGGAAAACGCCGATTGCACATCGATAGTGATGACCGGAGGGCTAACTTGATTCTCACTCCGGTCCTTCTTCTTGGCCTCGATGCTGAGGCGGGCATCGGGGGCATTCTGTTGAATCTGATGGCGTAGGTCGACAGCCGTCTGGTCCAACCCGGCGACGCCGCCCCCCCCGGGAGCCCTTTTAGAGGCTTCGGGGACGTTGACTTCGCCGAGGGCCAGGTTCCTGTCATCAACATTCTTGGAGTTGGCACGAGTTGTTCTCACCATTTTAGCTAAGTGTTTCGTGTTTGGTGAGGGGGAGGGTTTCTTACTTGATTATTCGACCTCTCAATGAAAGCACCAAATGATGGATAGTGTACTCGGGGGGTAGCTTATCCGAGGGGTTATTGCGGAGAATAACTAGAGAGAAGTCAGAGCAAGTAAGTAAGAGAGAGAGAGTGTATATTAGATATGTATTCAGCGTATTTCGCTTCTGGTTACAAATGGGGAAATGGGGTGCTATTTATAGTAGTAATAAATGCCAGATAGGGACACGTGTCAAGCATCCATTGGCCGAGGGGTCACATCAACCGGTTGGCGCTGGCAATCGCATGTGGCCGCATTCAATGCGGCTTTTAGATGTGACGTCGTACTTGGTACGGTGATTCAGGCGCATGTGGAGTTGATATTATGTCGAGAAAGGTGCCCTCGACTGCAGGTCATTAGCCGAGGGCTCTGAGTACCGGGGACCCCCTTAATGCTGAGGGCTCTAGGTGCCGAAGGCTACTGATTTTCGCCGTTTTCTCCCAGTAACTTTGTGTGCTTGAGCTGGCCGTCCTGTGAGGATTTGGAGCCTTCGGCCAGGGGGCCGAAGGCACTCCCAGTATGCTGCGTGGGTTGCTCAGTACTTGGGGCGCTGTGTTTTGGGCCTGTTGTGCCCCCTGGGCCTATTGGGCCTTTATCAGAATAGTAGGAGTCTATGGGCCGGGGTTCCTGGGCCATATTCTCCATCAGGCATACTGTAAGTTACATGTTTTTCATTTTTTCTAAGTATCATTGTTGATGTATAATTAGAGTACATATACAATGATATGATTTGGTTTAGGAACAAATCTTTTTTAGGTTTAAAGTCTTTTAAAGATTAAATGTGTTCCTTTATCTTTGTTCATGGTTTAGGAACATATATTTTTTAGATTTAAAGTCTTTTAAAGATTAAATGTGTTCCTTTATCTTTGTTCATTCCAGCTAGGAGTATTTGTTTATGTTTCTTATTCAATCAAATTATTTGGATCTTAAGACATGCTAAATGCCTTAAAGGACTAAATAGTACTTTTTAGTTTATTTTTACCAATACTTTGGTGAGTTCATACAATAACAAATTTAGTCTCATTCAAAATGCTTCTATCCAGCAACTCTAATGGCAATTGTAACATTGAAGCTGGATGTTAATGAAGACAACCTTGAGTGAGAGTATAAGGTAATATAAGTTTGATATGATTCCTGTTAAGAAAAAATGGGAATCTTCCTGAAAAGTTAAAAAAAATTGGTTGTTAGATTTTATGCAGTTCTTTTCAACCTTTAGTTTTTAGAAATTGGTGGTCAACTGACGAGCACTTTGTCACGGTGCGTCAAAATAAATTCAATACTAAACACTTATACGTAGTATAGCGTAGTAGAGTTCGTATCCACAGGGAAAGGAATAATTCTCTTTTTATGATACATAGTAAATAAAAGGGGGGATTTGGATTGAGTGATTTAATTTAATTAAGAACTAAGATGAACAACCTATATGTGTTTAATTCAAAGATAAAAAGGACTTGGCATTGCTACTTTCCACTTGTTGATATATTTTAGTCGATCATTGTTATATCTATAACTTATTCCCTCTCGAATACTCAATCGGGGAGTATATCCACTTCATCGAGGGTAGTTATTAACAACGACCGTTCATTAATAACCCTTACTATTAATCAAATATAGAACAACGCCTTATACTGATTTAATAATAGCATTTAATCTTTCTAATTCCTTGATGAAATCAATTGAGATTGATAATCTCAACACAACGGTTTCGGTTTAACCAACAAAATTAATCCCTCTTAAGTTTATTAACCACGACCGTGCATTAATAAACCGAAGTTACTTACTTGTGAAACCATCAACGATTAACCATCGGTTCGTTGATCGTTTCTAGTAATAATTAATATATGAAACAAAACTAGTTGATCCTTTAAGTAGTGTTCAAAATATTAATATGAAATATGAGTAGGAATTAATCAATATTCAAGGAGGAATATTATTAAAGAAGATGAATCCTACTATAATTAATATCAAGATGTTAACTAATTGTCATCTTAGCAACACTCCCCAGCATTAATATAGAGGAAGAAAATACCATTCTAACTAATGTCGAGATGTTAACTAATTGTCATCTTAGCAACACTCCCCAACATTAATATAGAGATGATATTAAGGAAAGAACTATTAATTAATATTCAAGGAAAGAAGTTAAGAAAATAACTCACAACTTTAATAATCAACAAGCTTCAAGAGCAACACCAAGAATGGAAGTTTAGCTCCTCATTTGGAGACTAAACATAGCTAGAAAAATATAAAGAAATGTTATTCTAAACTGAGCTTAAGAGTATGGAAGAAGGAATCATTTTTTGTGAAGAAAAAGTGTGCTATTTATAGGTGTTTTTCAACACCTTTGGCCGGGTACCCGACCGGGTCAAGTACTCACCCGACCGGGTCCGGTCAAAATCAGATATTTCCCCACGTTCTGGTGATCTTTGCACACCGGGTTGTCCCCGGTCACTTCTCGCCCGACCGGGTGAGGTATGGGGCCTGACCGGGCCCAGCTGTTTCCTCAGTGCTTCGGTTTTCAAATCAGACCCGACCAGGTGCAATTTCCTACCCGGTCGGGTATTTGCTCCTGGACAGTTAAAATTCCTTTTTCTTCACTTCAACATCCTCCTTTCCAACATCCTAATTCCTAATTCTACTTTAAAACTTACAAATGAGAACTAAAATACAATTACAACTAAAATCACACAAATGTGTTCAAACCAAATAAAACGTCAAACAATCACCATCAATGAAACATAAAAACATACAATTATGCACTACTAATTAGTGTGCATCATCAACTTTAGCCTTAAACTGAGGGTTGGAACTGATATGTTTGGAATAATCAAATGAAAGCATTTACTAGGGTGCATTTTAATGAACCAGAAGTCGGAGACTCATTGAGTTTGAAAAGCTAGTTAGTCTATCAAGTTTTGCCAAGTTAAAAAATTGCAATGATCACGATTTATAATCCAATTAAGTAATGGAATATTACATCAGACTATATTGCTTATTTATGTAAATATTTTTCATACACTTCTATCTAAATCAAAATTTTGAAGATTCTAATGGCGTTAGTTTAGTGGTGGATTGTTCAGGGAAATTCGTCCAGGACATATATGATCAATTGAAATGGTTCTAATCGATGATGAGGTACTCTTATTATTATGCCTGCTATGTAGCTTACTTTGCTTCTCTTGCATACTCTACATACTTTAAGAATATATTAGTTGATTTGGTTAGTTCGCCTTTCAACATTAGTTTTAATTGATGCTTAATGTCTGCTTGATATTGCCAACCCTGATTTTTCTATTATGCTTTGAGTTTCTAACAGCTCTGTATATTATGCGTTGGTTCTGCTCTAAGAGCAGATGTAATCTTTCATAATGGAATAATGTACACTAAAGCAATAAATGCCAAAAAGGAATACATTCATTCTTCTGGTGGATTGATAGTTTTAGACATCAATTATATATGATGCTAAACAGGCTTATTGAAAAGCATTACTAATGAAGTTTGCTAAACTTAAACTTTCATATAAACATACTATCTTTGATTTTAATAAAGAATATGACAACAGTTCTGAACTTTGCTTGTGACTTTGGCTGATAAGTTCAAAATGGAGCTTCCTATTTTGACTTGGAAAAAATGGATGGCATTTGATATAAAAAACATATCTGCGCTCTAGTTTTTCTGGCTTCTGCAATCTGCAATGGATTGGAAGGGTATAGTTGCTACTAGGTGAGTGTCCCGTCTAATTCTAGGGGAATTTGCATAAGTCCACAAAGCATTTCCTACTCCTGCCAAACTCTCCGGCCAACTCTGCTGAAGTCAACAAAGCAGCATCGCCTATTCCGCTAAACTCTCAGACATTCTTTGAGTATTTCGGATGCATCTGGATTTCCTCTGCTCATCGAACACCGTGTCCAGTTTTCCCTTCTGATTGTCCATCTCGTAGCGTCTCTCTCTCTCTCTATTTGGAAGGTTTCTGGCTTCAATGATCTCAACATCCTAATATACTAACCTCTACGAATCTCTCAATTCTATACTTCAATATATATCTGTGACATTTTGTTTCCTTATTCCTTATTCCAAGATTTATGTCATGTTTCCTAATTTGTTTGTCTTCTCACTGTTACTTTAATTAATTTTTCTTCTTGATGGATAATGGCCAAATGCAACAATGAAAATGGTAGTCCTAAGGCTTCTCAAAGAATAATAAAGACCAACTAGGCTTTGCTTAAGACACCATCTTATACCCTTTGAGGATAGTCTGCCTTCTCCTTCAACAGCCCATATGAAGTCTTCCACAAGTTTCCCTGCCCTAACACAATCAGCCAAATCAGGGTTCTATCAACTCTCAAATCTCTCCTTAACCATACTAAACTTAACATATCTCTAATATTGCTGATGCAGATGATCAAGTTATAATTGCATCAAAGAATTCCAGCTTATGGTTGAAAGACGGAGGCCATTTTTGTTGTCATTTAAGGCAGATGACTGCACATCGTGTGAATTAGGTAGTCAGTTGTATAGGGCGTTCGAAGTAGAAAATCACTACCCGATAAAAGGCATTTGTCTTGAGCCATTTATCATAAATACATCCCTTCTTTTGTTTCACGGGTCAAGAAGCTTTCTCTGATTTTAAACTGAAATGATCTCTTTGTTGTCAATGAACATATATTGATTTGCCTTTATCGGATGTTATTAAACATTTTAGTGATGTCTTTTACTCTTATTTTAGCTATGCAGAAACAATCCAAATTAAGTAAAAACAATGCTATTTGGAGTTTGCACCAATATATTTTTATTGTGATTTTCTTTTAGCATCTTTTTATTGTGATTTCTTATATACTTCAAGCATTTCTTTGTCTCTATATACCTAAAAGCACTACATATGAGTTAGAAAGATTTTTACGCGTGACTACGTACTCAGGGCTCAATATCTAATATACCTTCTAGAAAAACACTGAAGGCCACCGACGTAGGAAGACGCTTTTTCTTCCTTCTTCTTCACCGCGGCCAAAATCAGATCACCTCCCTTCTGCCGTACCAGTTCGCTTGCACCAGTTCACCACCAGAAAATCTCGATCAGTGATGTCTCGGACACTTGGATAGTTGGACCAAACATCTATAATTCACACTCGAAGCAAGAAAAAACTCAACTTCATCCGTAGGTAACCGCTAGGACGTAGGGGTTCTTCTAAATCCTATCTTTTTCTGACTTTGATTTTCTTCTATACTCACAAAAGGAGAGATTCAGATCTATATCAGATCAAATGCTACCTTTCTCACCAGCCCTCGGGTAAATTGAATCCATCATTCTTTATTACTTAATCAGCAAATTTTAATAGTTACAACCTCTATACATTTGTTTGAATTTTCGTCTCTATCCATGTTGCTTTTTATTATTGATTTTCCTTTCTTTTTTATGTCTTTTGTTCTCTGTTTACTCATTTTTGTTCTCATCCAGTCAAGTGGTAGGAGTTTTAGTCTGATATAGATCGGTCATACGATTCTTTTTATTTACACCACTAAATTGCTTCATGTTTCTAAATTGTGAAGTCCTTTATTGGACCCCATCATATTGGACCGCACTAACATGTAGAATAAAAAAGCGCACAAGGAAATTGATGTGTAAAACATCTCATTTAATGCCTCACTTCAAAGTGCAGCGTTTGAAAAGTTCTATGTTCGGAGTTGTTATCATCTCCTTGTGGGGGAAGTTGACCTGGGAGGATGGCTGGGGTGGACAAAGATGTGGAACTTAGCTATCTTCCAAGGTTAAGATTTTTTTGGCAATTGTGCACGGGGAATCTGCCTACTAACAAATTGAGAGAAAGGAGGGTGGAGCAAAGGCATCCTATGTGGTGAGCATTTTGAGTCTGTTTCCCATTCTTTTTCTAATTGCAGGAGAGCAGCTGAAGTTTGGAGACTAAAGGGCTGGGTAACTGTGGCTGGCCAAGGAACGTCATTTATGGAATGTTTGGAACTTTTCTTCACGACTAGGACCTTGGAGCATTGCTGTGAAATGATATTGTTGTGCTGGAGCATTTGGTACTTTCACAATAGGGCTGTCTAGAACAGGGAGGAAGGAGGCGAGGATTTTATTGTGACTTTGGAGAGGGCTATCCTACAAGGCTGGCGGGTTGCAAATGACCGGTGCGCTGAAGTTCCCATGAAGTCGAGGTGTTGTGGTGCAGAGGACTGGAAGAAACTTGAAGCGGGCTGTCTTAAGTCAACGTCGACGCAACTTTGGAAGTTGGGGGGCATAGGGGTTTGGGTGGGTGGTGAGAGATGCTGCAGGCAGATTTGTAGCAGCGGGGGCAAATTCTTGGTTGGGTACCTGTTCGGTTAAGGAGGCTGAAGCCATCGCGATTCGAGAGACTTTGAAGTGGCTTAAGGAGCACAATTGGGATTATGTCAACTTAGAGTCGGATGCTAATTGGCAATGGTGGTTGAAAAGGGAGGAAATATGTCTTCCTTGTGTTTGATTGTTGACGATATTAAGGTGTTGATGTGAGGCTTTAGAACTGTTTCGATTAAACTTTGTTTGGCGATCTCTGAATCGTGCCGCTCACGAGCTTGCGCGAATGACCATTTCTTTGTCTGATAGTCATAGTTGGATAAATATTCCTCCAAATTGTATCTGGAATGTTTTAAATCACGATTTACTCAATGATAGTTGATCTTTTGGTTTTAAAAAGATTATTTTAGTGATTTTTATAAGCATTTTCAAACAAATACTTGAAAAGAAGTCTAGACCCATAACAATTATTACCAACAATTGTTCCATATTTTCATTCATAATCAAGTCTAATTGGAGTGGTGCCATATGGAGTTATGACTTTAATCTATCTAACCTCTTCTTTTCTTATGATTGAGATATTATGTAATAGTTCAACATGGTTACTTTTATATGTCATAAAGGTATTAAATGAAAATTTATTACTTTCATACGTTTAAACCATGTAGTCCTTTTTAATATAACTTTGTATGTACCACCCAGATAGTTAGTAGTACCTAATTAGTTTGATGCTTAATAGTTGTATAGAGTGAGATCTCATTGTTATATCTCACAAGTATACTTAACACTACCTTCGTTTAAAATAAAAACCTCGATTTTTTTTCATGGCTTACCATTTTTGTGTTTGATCATCATTATAACAACACACTCCTTACACATAAACTAAGAAACTCTAATACTTAATTTAAAAGTCACAATGTGTATTAAAATAAATCAACACGATGTACTTTATAAGATTAATTTTAAAGACAAAATTGGTACTTCCTATTTTTGAGGTTCATAACAGCAAAAGTAATACCAAGTTGTATTGATTTGAAATTTTTTAAAAGATTCAAAATAAAACTATTTACATTATCACCTCTATGTTAGACAAAAAATGATTACTTCCAAATATCAACCTATACCCTATCAACCATTCCATGCCAACCTTTGGCCTACCATAGAAAGAAATTATTTTATATTTTCAAAAAAAGTAGTTTATACGGAGTATTATATTTCGGAGGTATCCAATAAGTTTTATACAATTTTAACTAACGAATAACGTACAATCCATAGTTATATTTTGATTAGTTTCACATCCGTGCAACGCACGGGTGAAAGACTAGTAAATTTTATTTGCCTTACGGGAAATAACTAATTAGTATATTTTGCCTAATCGTACTATCGTTTGATCTGATCATATCTTGTTGTGAAGTGGAGGTAGGGGGCCTACCCGTGCCCCAGCCCACCCCAAATTGAAAAAAAGTGTGTATTTTGAAGGTAAAATTTTTTCTAGAAAAAAATATCTTTGTACCGGCCCAGTGTAGATTTATCTCCAGACTACACTGCTAGATATTAGGCGCCGTATCAAATACTCAATCAAGTTTCGAGCGTAACATATTTATCTTGTTGGATATTGTTATATTTGTAATCCTAATTCTTATGTATTGTTATATGATGTTTTAATACTTAGATAGGATGGCAAAGCAAGGTTTTGAAAGTAATAGGCTTAATGGATTCTAATTGATTTATTCAATTAGACCATTAAACTTGGTCTGGCCCGTTTCAGTCTATTCCACTGCAGTTTGGGCCTGATAATTGGTTTAGTCCAGTCCGGTTCTCCTCTTTGACCCAACTCGTTTGATTCGCATATAAAAGTTCTCCTTCCTTCCTTCCTTCCTTCTGGAGATATCTTATGCGTCATTTGAAACCCTAAACACAGAAAGGCGATTCTGAGAGCTTGTGCGTTGATTGAGAGAGAAACCTCTGGTTTTCCATTCAAATCCGAAATCACTTGAATCCGGAATGAGCTGAGAAAGGCTGGAAATCAATCGTGTGGCAAAGCTTAAACGATGGGCTGTTGGTTCGAATCCAAGAATCTGCATACTCCTGGTTTTTGGAAGCTTTGTTCGGTTATTTCTATTCCTTTTATTACTTCTGTTGTCTTGCTTGTGTTTTGGCTGATTCTTGTGTGTTAGATCTTATTATTTTCTGGTCTTGTGCAACCATCTTTGTATTCAAACTTTTCTAAGGTAGTGGATTCTTGGGACCGGGTTTCCCCTGTTGAAACCCCGCAGAGTAGGATTTATCCGAACTGCGTCAACATATCGTGTGTTCATTTCTTTAATTTCCGTTTTGGTTGAACTTCAGGTTTGAATCCGGTATTTTGACTGTGACTATTGATATAGTGTGAGAACAATTTTGGTATCAGAGCCTTTGCATTGGATTCTTGAAACCCTAATCTAAATTCCTGATTTGATTGAGTTTTCAAGAAACCCTAATTTTTGGTTTACTGTTTTTTCGATCCTGAAACCCTAGCTCAAAACTGTTTGAATCTTGATTGCTTTTAGTTCTTGTCTGATTGCCTTCTGTTGCTTTTACTCATTTGTGTCTTGAGGTGTACCTGTTAACATGTCTGACACTGGTATCACTATTCGTATCTTTGATGGTACCAATGACTTTCTCGTGTGGCAGCTTAAGATGAAAGCTCTCCTGATGAAGCAGAAATACTTCAGAGCTGTCTTGAATGATTCTATTCCCAATGTGTCTAATGCTGAGTTAATTGAATTGAAAAATGCTGCATATTCTGAATTGATTATCCATCTGTCTGATAATGTGGCTAGAATATTTTTGACAATTACTGATCCTAGAGTGTTATGGCAAACCCTTGAGTCTACCTACATGAAAAAGTCCATGTCAAGAAAGATTTCTCTCCTTTGTAGGTTGTTTACCTTTAAAATGAATGTTTCTGTGTCACTGACTGATAACTTGGACAGTTTTCTAAAGATGACACAAGAAATAGAAAAGGTAGATGAAAAGATAAAAGACACCCATCAAGTTGTTATTCAGTTAAACTCTTTACCATCCCAGTTTGATAACTTTAAGGATGTCATCCAGTATTCTAATGAAGATCTCACCCCTGGTAAGATCATAGATGCTATACTTGAGAAGAATGAATCCCTCAAAGTTTTTAAGTCTAAATCTGATCCCTCTAATATTGAGAAAACTGAGCCCAAAATGAAGCCCTAGTTATTAAAGGTAAACCAAAGAATAAAAAGAACAATTCAAAGAAGAAGAATAAAATTGATAAAGATAATTCTGAGAAGAAAACCTTCAAATGTCACTACTGTGGCATAGAAGGACATTTTGCCGTAGGAAAAAGAAAAGGGATAAACAAGGTGATAATAAAAATAATCCTAACCCTACTCCTAACACAGAATCTGCAAATGTTTTTCAACATGAATTGCTTGTTTGTTCTGGATCTTCTTTGAATGATGAATGGATTTTAGACTCTGGTGTACATTACATGCCACTCCTAACAAGACCTATTTCTCCTTCCTGACTCTATATGATGGGGGAAAGGTGATGTTAGGAGACAATACTACCCTAGATATCAAAGGTGTTGGTAATGTTCCTCTGAGGATGTTTGATGGGGTTGTAAGGGTTATCCAAAATGTTAGGTGGGTTCCCTTCTTAAGAATAAATCTTCTATATGAATCTGTTTTTGATGATCTGGGTTGCACTATTAATACACAGGATGGATATAAGGTTGTTTCCAGAAATGGAAATGACCTCATTAAAGCTAATAAAAGTGGGGGACTTTACTTAGTTAATTGCTCCCCTTAACTTAACTTAGCTGCTTCTGTTGATAATAGTACCACTCAAAAGCAAACTGAAATTTGGCATAACAGATTGGGTCATATTGGGAATGTGGGTTTGAATAAGCTCTTTAAAACTAGATTTTTGGACTTTAAACCTGAAAACCTTGTTTTTTGTGAAAACTGTGTTTTTGGTAAGAAAACTAGACATCCTTTTGAACAATCATCTTATGTTGCTTCTGCTCCCTTAGAATTGGTTCATGTTGATTTATGGGGACCCTCTAAAGTGAGTACTACTGGAGGTAGAAAATACTTTATATCTCTAGTTGATCACTTTTCTAGAAAGGTGTGGGTTTTCTTATTAAAAACTAAGGATGAAACCTTTGAGAGTTTTAAAAACTGGAAAACATTGGTTGAGTCTCAATCAAACTTTAAACTGAAAGCTTTGAAAACTGATAATGGTTTGGAGTTCTGCAATAATGAATTCAATAATTTTTGCAAAAATGAAGGGGTTAAAAGGTTGATTACTCTCCCTGGAACTCCTTAGCAGAATGGTACTGCTGAAAGGATGAACAGAACCCTGCTTGAAAAGGCAAGGTGTATGCTCATCAATTCTGGCCTTGGTAATTCCTTGTGGGGTGAAGCAGTGACAACTGCTTCATACCTGATTAATAGATCCCCATCTTCTATGATAAGTTTTAAGGCTCCACAGGAAATGTGGTCTGGGGTTAAACCAAACATTTCACATTTAAGGCCTTTTGGGTGTGCAGCCTATGCCCATGTTTCTCAAGGTAAATTACAACCTAGAGCCTTAAAATGTGTAATGTTAGGCTATCCTAAGGGAGTTAAAGGCTATAAGCTACTGGTTATTCAACCAGGGGCTCATAAATGTATTGTATCCAGAGATGTTACTTTCAATGAATGTGATTTTCCCTTTAAAAGAACTGATACTGTATCAAGTAAGTCTGCAGATGCTTCTGATGGGAATTTCTTTGAATCTTTGGATAATGATGACTCTGTGAATGAAGAGGACCATGGTGGAATCCTCCACAATGCTGCATATGAACATTCAGAGCCTGAAACAGAGCAAAATGATAACCTCAATGGAGGTGAACATGTAGTATTGAGTTCAAGCTCACAAGGTAGTTTTTCTAGTTCTCATACTCCTTTTGTGCATGATCTGACTGACACTACTGTTGCAAATAATGTGCCTGATAACAATAATGACACTGATAATCATGATAAACCAAATTTAGCTGATTATCAACTGGTTACAGATAGAGAACCTAGAGCTATTATTCCTAACAAAAGATATTTCTCTAATCTTGCTGAATTTGTGTTGGTTGCTTCTGAAGTAGTTAAACAGTTAGCTCCTTATAGTTTTGAACAAGCTATGAAGTGTCCTAAGTCTAATGAGTGGATGAAAGCCATGCAGGAAGAACTTAAGTCGATGTACTTTAATAAGACTTGGATTTTAGTTCCTAAACCTAAAAATGCAAAGATAATTGACTGCAGGTGGAATTTTAGGTTAAAAGATAGACTTGATCCTACTGAACCTCCTAAGTTTAAAGCCAGGCTTGTAGCCAAAGGTTTTAGACA